CGGCTCCAGGGCGTGGTCTCTCGCCAGGTGCGCCACGGGCGAGGCCTGGCAGGACATCATGCTGGCCTGCATGCCCGGGAAGAAGTGTGCCCCCGAGTCGGAGCCAGGCAACAGCACGGAGGGGGAGACGCCCTGCGGCAGCAGCTTCGCCGTCTTCTACTTCATCAGCTTCTACATGCTGTGTGCCTTCCTGGTGAGCAGGGGGCCGCCCGGGGGCCAGCGTGCGGCCCGAGCCACCCCTGTGGCTCCAGCTCAGGGTCGCCCGCGGAGAGGCCAGCTCGGAAAGGCTGAGTTGGTGGGGCTGTTGGCCACCCTCAGAGACGGGCAGCAAGGGGGCCAGAGGGCGCTCAGCCGGCATCTTTCTTGTCCCCCCTTGGCTGTTGTCATGCTGGCTTCGTCCCCAAGGAGCGTTTCTGGCACCTTGATGGGGAGCGAGGGAAAGGTGGAGGGTGGTCCCTGTCCCCAGCAGCTCCACCCGGCCCCTGGGTGTGAGGGAAGCTATCCCGCCCCCCGGTGGGGTTCACCCCGCACAGCCCTGGGGGAGCTGGGTCAAGTCCACATCCAAGAGACCCATGTTCCAGGGGCTGGTGATCGACACGGTGCCTCATGGCTGGCCCTTAGGAACGCTGGCTTCTGCCCTGCGTGGCACTGCTGGCCGCATGGGCAGGCAGGCAACTCTGGCTGCTCTCCGTTCCCTGCAGATCATCAACCTCTTTGTGGCCGTCATCATGGACAACTTTGACTACCTGACGCGGGACTGGTCCATCCTGGGTCCCCACCACCTGGACGAGTTTAAGAGAATCTGGGCGGAGTACGACCCTGAAGCCAAGTAAGTCCCCAGGGGGCAAGGCTGAAGCTGCGAGGGTCGGTGCGGCCACGCCTGCAGGAGAGGCAGGTCAGCACGGAGAGGCGGGTCAGCACAGGGTCGGGGGGGGAGGTGGCCACACCTGCAGGAGAGGCGGGTCAGCACAGGGGGCCGCTGCCGGCACTGGGCTGCGCAGGACGCCAGGGTCAGGATCGAGGGTCGAAAGCCAGCAGTCGGAGGCGTTTGGTGAAGAACGTCCCTGCTATTCAGTTGAGCAGAAGGACAGGTCTCAGTGCTAGGACAGCGAGTTAAGTGCTCGCCGTAGCACGTCCGGGGCCGGGCCGACCTTGACGCCACCCCTGCAGCAGGCCTGTCTATCCATCGAGCATGTCTGGGTGACACTCGGGAAGTGCCTTTCGGTCAGATGGTTAGTTGACGGAAGCGGCAGTAAATACCGAGAATTCCGTCGTCCTCCCCAAGTACAGCACGATGGCGGCCTGAAAGTCTACCCTCATGAGTGCTGGATCGGGCGTCTAACCTGGCGCCAGTCTGCTTGGCCGGGTGCACGGGGGGGAGCCCGTCCTGCAGGGTCCCCACCCCAGGTGCGTGAGTCCCGGGCTGCTGGCCGAGACCCTCGCCCTCGCTGATCGTTCCTCTGCTCCCGCCTCTTCCAGGGGCCGCATCAAACACCTGGATGTGGTGACACTGCTGCGGCGCATCCAGCCCCCACTGGGTTTCGGGAAGCTGTGCCCTCACCGCGTGGCCTGCAAAGTAAGGGACAGCTGGGACCATGGGAGAGAGGCCAGGTGGGAGGCGAGATGCCCATTTGTCTGCGACCTCGGGCACGACACTGACCCTTTAAGGGGATGAGGACAGATTTTATGGGCTAAAGAAAGGAGCCTGTGCCAGAGGGAAGCCCCTTCCAGCAGCGAGTCCCCAGGCGCTGGACGAGGACAGCGGGGAGACCCTGCTGCCACGGGGCCGGGTCAGGGTCCACTCCAGGCTGCACCCCGCGCATCTAGAGGACCCTCGTCCAGGATGGACAGGTTTGGGCTCCCTCCCAGGATTGGAGACCCATTAAAGGGTCACACGCTGGCTTCAGGGGTCTGTAGACCCCAGAATTGTGCACAGAAGCACCACTTGTCCAGGGAGAGGATCAGGTTTTCACCACATTTCCAGTGAGTCACGACCCAGAGGAGGTTGCGTCCCGGCCCCTCCTGGCAGCAGGCTTCGTGCTGCTGTCTTCACGGTGACCCCAGTGCCAAGCCCCCACCCGAGCTTGTGGGTGGTGGGACGGGAGGGAGGAGGCGGTCCAGCGGGAGGAGGTGGTCCAGCGTCGAGAGCTCTGATCGGTTTGGGGCAGAGGCGTGTCTTCTCGATACACAGGAGAGCAGCGCCCCCGCGTCTCCCGCAAGCCTCCTCCCATCACCACCTCCCTTACGGGGGTTCCTGAGCCCTGGGCACCGGTGCCTGGGAGCCCCTGAGCCCCCATGTGCCACGGCAGGCGCTCGGGTTGGGACGAGGCCAGGGGACTTGGCACTCTTCGGTGGAAGCGAGGGCCTGCTGAGGACGAAGCCCACGCGCCCCTACTCTGTGGGAGGGCTTTGCGCACAGCTCAGGGACAGGCACATGCATCTCGAGGCCCCTTGCAGCATCCGCCTGCGGGCGCCCTGTGGGTCCTCCGAGGACTGGCCGCTGTGACGAGCAGCTCCACCTCCTCCTCTGCAGCGCCTGGTCTCCATGAACATGCCGCTGAACAGCGACGGGACGGTCATGTTCAACGCCACGCTGTTTGCCCTGGTCCGGACAGCCCTGAGGATCAAAACGGAAGGTAAGGGTCGTCGGGGGCCCGGGGGAGCCCCTCGGGGGTCCCACAGACCCACCAGAGCCGGGCTCCGTGGCCTGCAAGGTGCTCGGGACCTGCCCACCCTACGCGATGTCCCAGCAGCAGCCCAGCAACTCCCTCCCCTCCGGGACGTCAGCAATGCTGGCCTGGTCCTGTCTGCTCTGCTCTGGAACGGCCTCCTTGCCTCTCGCTTATTTATCGCAGACCCCAGAAAAGATCCTGGGTGCTGTCGGGAGGTGCTCGGGTGTGTCAGGAGATGAGTGTCACCTGCTGTGGGCCGAGCCCATCCCACCGGGGTTTTACCAGCTCCAAGTGGGGTCAGATGTTCAACTCGCTTTACAAGTTAAAGTGAAGGGGTCCCAGTGCCCGTGGTGGAGGCGGACACAGGCCGCGTGCTGGCCGCACCAGCTCCAGTGCTCCGCCAGCCGACAGGTGGGCCAAGCGCTCCCCGGTGTCGCCGGGAAGGAGGGACGGTCTTCCTGTCCGCCCAGCAGAGCCTGGCTGCGAAGACCCGCCGTCCTCCTGACTGGTTGGTACTTCCGAGCTGCTCCGGAAAGGCTGTGAATGTCCCTGAGGCGACGCCACTGCACCCCAAGACCTTCCAGCCCCTCCAGAGTCTGCAGGTTCGAGCTTGTTCAAGGCACCGTGTCCCAAGCACCAGCCCCATCTCAGAACCCGCATCGCAAACCCGCCACATGGGTGCTTCACGTGGGAGCAACGCTGGAGACCCAGCGGCATAGTAACTGGAGAAGCCAGACAGGGCGGGCCGCGGGTCCCCTCACCCTTCTGACGTTTCCACCTCGGAGTCGCAGGCCGCCCCCAACAGGAGCCCTGGTGGGGAGCCGGGGCCTTGACCCTGACTACACGTGTGGCCATCACTGACTCTCTCTCTGCCTCCGTTTCTTCATTTGTAAAACAAGACAGGTGGTGACACGTGGAAATGCAGCTCCGTGGCTAACCCAGACAGGTGCCTCCTCTCAGCTAAATCCTTCCACAAAGCGATAGAAACACCTGGAGTGAAGGAACAGACTCACAGGGCCACAAGACACGTGTCAGAATAACGAGCTCACCTTAAAGCGTCGCAAACAGTCCGAGCTTGGCAGCTGAAGAACATGCTCTCGGCAGCCGCGCTGTGACTCAGTCCACACGGGTGTGACCAGGCCCGTCGCCGGCGGCGCGAGAACTGAGCACACGCTCACCGTGCGCGTGAGCACGACTGGAAGGAAACCTGGAAGGCCGTTCGCTGACGTGTCAACCTCGACTGTCGCTGAGCAGTGGGATCAGCAGTGACTTCCACCTTCTTCCTTTAACTGCGTTACTTTCCAGCTTTTCCACGATGGCTTTGGTTACAGTTCTGTCCAGGGAGAAAGGCTTTCCTGGAAGGAAAGGTCTGCGGTTCTTCAGGCTCAATGTAAAGCAAAGGAGTAAGTCCTCATCCTGGAGCGACGGGGAACCGTGGTGCCTGGCGCTGGAACCCAGACCCATCAAGACACACTGTCCACGAGAGCCCAGCCCCAGCCAAGTCCCCACCAGGGAGCCAGATGCTCGCAGCCCATCCCAGGGAAGCGTGGGTTCCCGAGACCAAGGAGGAGCCAGACAGGCAGGAAGTCAGGCCAAGAATCAAAGAGAATCTCAAACACAGATGTCTGTCCGCTGATGAGCACCATCCCCGTAGCTCCCGATCCTGCACTGTTCACTCAAAGCCCTGCTGGGCGGGCAGGTCTCATACGTGGTATTTTCCTACCGTGAGATAAAATTTAAAAGTGAAAAAGGACCAGCTCGCAAAGGGCCCACGGCGCCAGCTCAGAGCAAACCTCTGTCGGAGACCGCGCCCCCCCACCCCCACCCCCACCTGCAAAGGTGCTAAACCCTTCAGTCCAGGAGGCAAAGGCAAGTCCTGGAGGTAACTAGAAGGAACGAGAGGGAGCATCTGGATCTGGGAGGACGAGCCTCACGCAGCCCGAGGCGGGAGGACTCGGCGAGAACCCGGGCTCGCCCTGCGGTCAGCCCCAGACCGCCAACCTGCGGACGCAGAAGGCAGAGGCTCTAAGACACAAAGCTGGTGTGAAGCAACCGTTACGACGTCCCACAGTCACACAGGCCGTCCTGAGAACAGTTTAAGGCTGCAGGAAGGTGTGCCGGGTCATTCTGGGAGCTGGACCACAGCCAGGTCTGCCGTGCAAGCCATCACAAACTGGGCGGCTTACAACGACAGGGTGTACTGTCTCACGGATCAGGCCAGACGTCCAAGACCACGGTGTCGGCAGTCGGGGGTGGGTCCCCGGAGTCTCCGAGGGAGCGTCTGTCCCGGCCCCTCCCCGGGGTCCGCGGGGCCTGCGGTGGTAGCCCTCCTCGGCCTGTGGCTGGGTCCCTCCAGGCTCTGCCTCCATCTTCACACGGCCGCCTTCCCCGAGTGTCCCCTCTGCTGATAAGGACACAGCCCCACTGGACTTAGTGCCCGCCTGTATTGAGTATGACCTGGTCTTAAGTAACCACATCTGCCAAGACCCCGTTTCCAGCTCAGGTCCCATCTAAGGTTCCATGTGGCCGTGCACTGGGGTGCGCCATCAGCCAGCTGGAGGAGACGAGTGTATTTGAGCCTCACTGCTCCTGTCGGACCACTCATGACCTTCCCCTGGAAGGCTGCCCCCATGGCTGCGATGCCCAGGATTGCCTCCCGGCCCAGGAGCTGTGGGTCCCACGTTCCCTCTCCCCGCTGCCTCCTCTGGGGCCTTCCTCCCCGCCAGCCTCTCCGGTGTGGCCACAGGGTGGATTTCAACCCGGCGGTCCAACCGCAGAGCTGTGCACGGAGCCGCCTCCCCCGCATACCAGCCGCAGCCCCCTGTGGTGCTGTCCCGCTGCCGGGTCCCCAGTGACCCCACCAGCCATCGGCTCAGGTTCTGAAGGTCTGGAGTCCGGCCATGGGTGGCCCCGGGCCAAAAGGCCAAAATCAGCCGCTGACCAGGCGTGTCCTGTCCCGGGCGCGGGCCCAGCCCTCAGCCAGGGCCCCCACGCCCCAGAGGCGGCCTCTCTGCTCGGACCGCGGCCCCCACCCCCGGCTCCCAGCCGAGAGCTCTCCGTCCTTGTATCTTTCAGCCCCTTCCTGTTACGTTTTTTCGTCTGTTGTTTTGTGTCATTTTTTACTGAGGTGGTTTCGCATTACCTTCACGTGAGCAACGCAATGATTCCATATTTGCACACATTGTGCAGCGGTACCAGTAGGTCCAGTTAACATCTGTCCCCTCACAGTTACAAGCTCTTTCTTGAGATGAGAACTTTTAAGATCCACTCTCAGGTGGGTGGGGGTACAGCTGAGGGGCAGAGCGTGTGCTTAGCGCACACAAGGTCCTGGGTTCAATCCCCAGTGGCTCCATTTAAATAAATAATTTTTTAAAGACCCTCTCTGTTAGCAGCTTTCAAATGAGGCAGTACAGCCCCGTTCACCGTGGTCACCATGCTGCACGTTCCCTCCCCGGGACATGTCTGTTTCGCGGCTGGGAGTTTGCGCCTGAGAGCGCTCTCCTTTTGCAGAGCTGTCAGGACTGTCTCAGGCCCACCTGGATAACCTCCCGCCTTCAGGGTGTGTGTGTCAGATGGCATGATGTGATCGCGGGGCAGCCCGCCGTGTGCGCGGTCCTGGGACCCTGCGGGCCGGTGGGAGAGCTCGGGGCAGCTTAGATCCCACCTGCCATGCCCTCTCTCAGCCATCCTTTTCCAGGGCTGTAAGGCCAGGATCCCAGGGGCTGCATGGAGAGAAATCTAATGAAGTCTTTTGCCAGCAGAGAAAGCAGACGCACAGAAGCCTGTCTTCTGGGTCCCTCTTCTACCCTGAGATCTGCCGCCTCCTCCCAGCAGGAGACTCGGCAAAGGGCTTTGACCCAGAGGCCCCCCCGAGCATGGACGCTCTGCGTGGGTCTGCGGGGGGACCACGCTTCCTCCAGTCACCCAGGGGAGCTCCTGTGCCCTCCTGCCCTGCTCAGCCCGGCCCACAGCCCCGGCCCCAGGTGCTCCCTCGAGGAGGAGCAGTGAGAGGGGTGCCGGCCCCCAGCCCAGCCAAGCAGCCGCGGGGAGGAAGGGGAGACTCTGCTGAGGGGACGGAGGAGGGTGTGGGGCCCCGGGAAGGAAGAGATGAGACCGCAGGGCCGGGGAACTGGGGCAGGGTCCTCCAGCCGGTGCGGGGTCCCTCGGGCTGCTGGCCGGTCAGCCTCGCCCTCCATCCCCGCAGGGAACCTGGAGCAGGCCAACGAGGAGCTGCGGGCCATCATCAAGAAGATCTGGAAGCGGACGAGCATGAAGCTGCTGGATCAGGTGGTGCCGCCCGCGGGAGGTGAGTGCTGGCCGGGTGGGAGGGGGCCCAAGCCCGCGGCCACAGAGGGGGCCGGGCCAGGCCCCTGGGTGCTTGGAGGGCCGCCGGGACAGCCAAGGAAGCGCAGCAAGGTAGAGGTTTCCCCACAGCCTGCTGGGCCGGTCGCCGTGGGGCTGGGGGCCCTGCACGGAGGAAGGCTCCCCGGGCCCCCGCTTGGTTGCAATTCCTGTTGTTCCGCCCGGAGCATTGTTTCTCAGACCTTCGAACGGTCCTGCGTGTGTCATCACCAAAATATGAGTATAACACTTTCACGCTCACATACAATATCTTAACATCAAATGCTTTTCAATAAATAAATGCTCGGGCACAGCTCTGCCAGAAGTCCTAGTTAACCGACCGAGCGCTCGCCGGTGATGAGCAGTCTGTGCTTAAAGGAAGCAAGGCGGTGCAAGGTTCTGCGCCTGTCGTTTGGAAGTAAGGGCTAAGGAAGTGTATTTACACAAGTACATACACACGTGCATGTGTGCGCAGCAACCCCGACACGTGCACACACGTGGGAGAGCGCAGACTGACGCGGCCGGGCGCCACGGGTGACCACGCGCCAGGCAGGGCCGTCGGGGATACAGCTTTCTGGAGTGTGAGCCCTTCTTGGTCAAGTTGAGGCAGAACAAAGCAGCCTTCCGTCCACTTGCATAGCAGTTATACTCCCGGAAACGCCGGAACATCAGAACGGCGTGGCTCCCGTGTAGACCAAGTCCGGCCCTCAGCCCGGACGGCTACGGCGGGCAGCTCCCCGCGCGGACGTCTGGCGCGACGGGCAGGGTGCAAAGCTAGTGCGTGCCGTGCTTTGCGGGACAACCCCAGAGCCCGGTGACGATCTGTGACAACTGCGGAAGTCCCAGACAGTCCCAAAACACACCTCAGCAGGTGGCGCCGGCCCTGTGGAGACCGACTCCCGCAAGCGGGCAGGACTGGCCCAGCGCTTCACACACGTTAGGTCACTTCAGCCTCATCCCGCGTCTGTGACGTTGGCCGTGGGAGCTGACCCCAGGCCCATGGCGAGTGCCCCGCAGGTGCAGGACCACACCCCGGTCTGAGGGACACCAGGACCCGACCGCATGTCCCCGCAGCTCCCCCTCCCTGACTCCGGCAGACAGGGGTTCGAGTGCCCCCTCCACGTGGGGCTGGGGCCCCTGCCAGGTGGGAGGCGGCGGGCAGCTGTGGGTTTGGCTGTTCTTACTCAGAGCAGGAGAACCGGCCCAAGCCTCCAGACCCAACCCTACAGCCTTCCCCCGGGCCCGCCACCTGGTCCTCCAGCGAGAGCCGGGAGAGGGAGCAGGAGACGGCCTGTGGGGCGGTAGCGCTCCTCTGGGAGACTCACCAGGTCCTCCTCCACCTGGTTCACTCTCCAGACAGGAGCTAGTTTGTCTCATGGAAGGTGGGGCCATCCCGGCCACAGGCTAAGAACACCTGAGCTGAGACAGGCGCCGGAGCCCTTCTGCTGACCCCTCCCACCAGCCTTTGAAGCAGAACTGCCTGCCCTGAGGGGACTGGTCAATTTATGGGGGGGCCCTGAAGCTTCGGAGTCAAATAAGAGTTAGCTAACCATGTCAGTTAAGTGAAAAAAGCAAGGTGGGAAGTAATTTTGACAATATGCCACTTTTTCTGTGGAAAAAGGGGGGATGAGAATGTATTTGCTTATTTGCAGGAAGTATGTGCATAAAGAACCTCTGGGGAAATGCTCAGGAAGCCAGTGGGAAAGGTTGTCCGTTACAAGCGGTCACTGGGCAGACGGGGGCTTTCCACTGCGCGTGCGCCGTGCTATGTAGTTTTGTCGTTTTGCACCACGTGCGTGGCCTCTTCCAAGAGTAAATGTAGAAAACTTCAGAAAGTGTGGCTGCTGAGAGAGGCTAAGCGGAGCCAGCTGACCCTTCTCTCTGCCCATCTCAGACGATGAGGTCACAGTCGGCAAGTTTTACGCCACCTTCCTGATCCAAGAGTACTTCCGGAAGTTCAAGAAGCGCAAAGAGCAGGGCCTCGTGGGCAAGCCGTCCCAGAGGAACGCCCTGTCCCTGCAGGTGAGGGAGGGCCCGGCCACCTTCCTCCGACTTCTGCCGGGGTCGGGGCCTTCCAGCAGCGGGCTGGAGGCCACGTCCCTTTCTGGGAGCCCCGCCCCTCCCCGAAGGTGGACGCCTGGGGGGGCTGCCCCTCCCCCACCTGCCACACACTCACTCCCGGCGGTGTCCCGCAGCCTCACAGGCCCCAGCGCCCCTCCCGTCGAGCCTCCACCCCCCACCCTGGAGCAGACAGAGCGCGCCCCACCCTGGGAGGGCCTTGGAAGGTGGGGCGCCAGGCCGTCACGCGTCCCCCTGGGTTCCAGGCTGGCCTGCGCACCCTGCATGACCTGGGGCCTGAGATCCGCAGGGCCATCTCCGGGGACCTGACGGCCGAGGAGGAGCTGGACAAAGCCATGAAGGAGGCGGTGTCCGCAGCCTCAGAGGACGACATCTTCAGGGTAGGTCTTCATTCTCCACAAAGCTAGGTGTGGCCAAGAGAATCCAGGAGGAGCCCCACGTCTACGGCAGAATCCCCGCCGTCCCCAAGCAGGCCTCTCCCTTCCCGACCCCGTCCAGGCTCTTCTCAGGCTGGGGCTCCCAGGACCTGAGCTCCCAGAGCGTCCCTGGCCCTCGGAGGAGGGAGGAGTCAGTTCCCTGAGGAAAGGTTTTCCCAGGAGACCCTTCCAGGCAGAGGTTGCACAGTGGCGGTCCCCAGGCCACATCTAACCCACAGACCTATTTTGTTTGCCAACATTTGAAAATCTGGCTCCTTCAAATAAAAATCTAGACTTCTGGCTTCTCTTGAAAAAATCAGAAGGTCTGCAAGGTTGGGCAGCAGAGGCCGGAACCCAGTGGCGACCTTGAGACCGAGCAGGAGGTCTCCAGGCCCCCAGAGCACCCCCCCACCATGTTCTTACCGGTGGACACTGGACGTGACTCCTGAGATACGGGGGCTCCCTCACCCAGCTCTCTTCACGAGCCCCCAAGGCTTCTGTAGCGAGTGAGAAGCTGCCGACTGCGACTGGGCCAGGGTCCCACTCACCCCGTCCCCCAGGTCACCACCCTCACCCCTGTCACTGGGAAGTGGCCTCGGGGGTGCGGCACCATGCCAAAGTGACCCCACGAGACCCCGCGGGCCAGCCCTGCAAAGGCTTGCTTGCCCGGGACGGGAGGGGCCGTGGGGGAAACACTGGTTCCCGACTTGGGAGCTCTAAGCCCCTCCCAGGGGCAGGAGGCCGTAGCCTGACCCGTATGGTCACTGCGTTCTGACGCTCAGAACCGTCGGCCGGCACAACTTCCAGCTCACTGAGCTAGTCGGGTTCCATTTTTTAAGTCTCCTTAGAACTTTCTGGCCCCTTTCCCCACCTCCCAGCTCTCACCGTGCCTTGAGGCTGCAGTGAAGGGCCGCTGTTCCAAACACGTGCTGGAAACTCCATCCCAGGGTTTGGGGTCTGACAGAAACATCGGGGGCAGCGGCCTCCCTGCCTGACCAGTCCCCCCGCACCCCGGCCCCCAGCCCTTTCAGGGCACCGTCCGGGCCCCTCCCTCTCGGGCTTCCAGGTCAGGGGGCGCAGAGGCCCGTCCGTGGCCCAGCGCCCTCCTCCACCCTCCCCTGCCGTCTCGCTGCAGAGGGCCGGAGGCCTGTTCGGCAACCACGTCGGCTACTACCCCAGCTGACGGCCGGAGCGCCTTCCCGCAGACCTTCACCACGCAGCGGCCCCTGCACATCAGCAAGGCGGGCAGCAGTCAGGCCGACCCCGAGTCGCCCTCCCACGAGAAGCTAGTGGACTCCACCTTCACACCCAGCAGCTACTCGTCCACGGGCTCCAACGCCAACATCAACAACGCCAACAACACGGCCCTGGGCCGCTGCCCCCGCCCCGCCGGCGACCCAGGGGCTGTCAGCACGCTGGAGGGCTGCGGGCCCCCCTTGTCCCCCGCCGTCCGGCTGCAGGAGGCCGCGTGGAGGCACAGCTCCAAGAGGTAGGCAGAGGGAGCCCAGGGCCTCACACACTCCGGCCGGGAGGGGTGGGGAGGAGGTCTGGCCCCAGATCCCAGCAGGAGGGCAGCTGGGTCCTTCAAGACCATCTCGTCTGCTCCCTCCTTTGTCACAAACTCTGAGTCAGGCAGGGCGGATGGCTTTCCAGTTTTACTGGTGGGGATGCTGAGGCCTGGGTGCCTAAGTGACTTACACCAGAGGGTAACGGAACCCAGGTCAGAACCAGGGGTCCTGACCCGGAGGCCCTGTCCCACGTGGACGCCTAACCCTAACCCTGGGCTCCGCGGCTTCGTCAGGGGCTGTGTCTCTGGTGCTCCACTCGCCGGGTGGGGAGGGGGCCAGGGGGGCTGGCGGTCTCTGACTTTGTCCCCACCCTGGACACTTCAGGTGCCCCTCCCGGGAGAGTCCGATAGCCATGGTGTGCCCGGAGGAGGCCTCCCGGGGCGAGGCCCATGATGTGCAGACGTGTGAGGACGCGGAGTTCGGCAGCGAGCCCAGCCTGATCCCCACCGAGATGTGAGCTCTGCCCGCCCGGGGGGCCGTGTAGGGGAGCGTCTGGGGGTGCGGGCGAGTCCCCCGATTCCCACTCCGGGCGTGGTGTGGGGGAGGAGGCTGCATATCAGAGGAGCGGCTGCGAAGGCAGGAAGCCCCCTGACCCTCGTACCCACGGTCCCCATTAGCTTCCTCACGATGTGATGCTTTCAGGAGAAGTTCTAAACGTCATTTCGCTCAGTCTTGTGACCACGACCAATGTCACAAACATAGTTCATGGTGAGACTCGGTCCCCACCTGCGCAGAGCGACAGTTAACGTTAGTGAACCGCTGGAACAAAGCGCCCAGCAGAGGGCGCTGCTGGCAGCAGTGGCTGCCAGAATCTTCTTCGGGAAAGGGCTTTACTCTGCAGAGGCTGTGACATTGCTTGGTCGGTTGCAGTCAGCCCTTTCAGAAGGAAGCGTAGAAAGGAGGGAAAGGGACGACAGCGTGTCCAGGGTGTTTTGTGCCCCGCCTACGGAGCGGCCAGCACATGCCTGCACGTACCGAGGCCCGTGCGGTGTATCGACGGCTGGGGCTGCACTCTCAAGCTTGGAGCTGTGTTGGCTTTCCTGAGAGCGGCCCTTTGTCACAGAGAGGACCAGCCGCTTCGGCCTCTGGTTCTTAGAGGATGCCGCAGGCCCGAGAGGTCAGGAGAAGCGCAGGCCCCCGTCCTGGGCTCTGGCTGCGTGCTCAGCGCTTCCCGGGCCTCTGCTGGACGGTGGGTAAACCAGCCCAGCAGCAGGGGAGACTTACTCCTTAGGAAGCGAGGAGGATCTCAGAGGAGGGAAGTAAAGGAGTTCCCTAAGTAACTGCTCAGTGATGCAAACAAGAGGGTCACAGGCCACAGAAGGTCGGGGTCACAGTGACACAGTGGCACCCGCACAAGGTCAGACAGAAGCTGGACATGATCTGAATCAGACGAAAATACAATAGGGAGAGCGACCAAGCTGAAAACGGGAGGAAGGCTGTGGGTTTCGTTCAAACCGTCCCCGCGCATCTAGGGGTCAGCGCGCCAGGCCCAGGCCCTGCCGCCAAATACGCGGGGTCACACCAGCACAGTCAGCGGCCTCACCTGCAGCATGAAGAGCTGGGCACACCAGTGGGCTGCTCCACTCGGAGGGTGGAGTCAGTGCAGTGGCCGCAGCTGCTTCTTGCTGAGACAGGCCAGCCGGGGCAGAGCGGAGGCCCGGGAGCGCGGCCAACGCAGTCCCGGAAATTGTGTGCAGGCAGCCTGGGGCCACAAGACATCACTTCTCGCTGAGTCCCTTCAGAAAGGTAGAGCGGCTGACAGACTAGATGCCCCCAGGCCCCTCACCAATGACTGTGGTTTGCTGCTGGGAACCGCGTGTGCGCTCCAGTGGCCAAGGTGGGCAGCCTGGGAGAAGTGAGGGGTGGGCACCGTTTGGGCCCCCTCTGGAGCAGCCGTGGTGACGATATCTGTACATGCAGACGGAGGGCCTGGGCCACTCGGGCAGGAAGCTCATGGGCCCAGAATTATTTTCCAGCTTTCTCAGCAGCAGGGACCTGCGTTGTCCCCACTGCCTGGACTCAGAAACACAAGAGCACACACAGCACACAGGCTGTGGGAAACACCTGTGCAGGCCAAGTGTCCGGGGAGGCTGCCCTGCTGCCCCCACCTTCCTGAAAGCCAGGGCGGGGTTCCCTCCCCTGCGGAAGAAGACTGCTTTTGGGGGCAGCGGCTGCCCTGTGGGGTGCAGCCTCGGCCTCCAGGGACGAGTCCCCAGCGCTCTCTGTTCCAGGTTCTCCTATCAGGATGACGAGAGCCGACAGCTGACACCCCCTGAGGAGGACAGGAGGGACGTCCGGCTGTCTCCAAAGAGAGGCTTCCTGCGCTCCGCCTCCCTAGGTAAGCGCTACACTGCGCTCCTCAGATGCGGCCACCAGTGGTCACCTCCCCCCAGGTGCCCGGCCAGGCCCACAGGGGTGAGGGTGCAGGGCAGGAAGGGGGGTCAGGGGAAAGGAGCGTGGGACAGAGAGGAGGGTGAGGAGAGGGGCGCTGAGGGGCGGGGCGAAGGAGGGCACAGGTGAAGCGTGTGTCCTTGCACCTCCCTGGGTGTGGCCGTGGCGGCCGTGCCCTCCCCTGCTGCGCTGACCCCATCGCTGGCTTTGCAGGTCGAAGGCCTCCTCCACCTTGAGTGTCTGAGCGGCAGAGGAATCAGTGGGGGATAGTGTCTCTAGAGCGGTCTGCCTGCACCGTG